TATATATACGTCATATATAATATACGCACATGACTATCTATTATGCGGGCGCTTCCAGTGACCCAGTCCCGTTTTCTTCACGTAACTGATACTTACACCAAAACACCATTAAGTCATTGGCGACGGTCCTTTGAGTGTTACACCCACTTGATTGAATATGGTTCCCAACCCTCGTTTCGAATGAATTTTATTGACAAGTATATTAATATATATGCTTACTACTTACTAAATGTTTACATGATTTATCAAGACATTTATAAAGTGTATAATTATAACCACATATTTATGTATTAAACCCTTGCGTGATACATACATTTCTAAATGCTAAAATGTTGAAATGTTAGAAAAAATAATTTTGCACCCCCCCCCCACTATTGGGGAAAAAAAAATCAATGCTAACAGGTATTTCATGCAATGCATATATATGTATAGCTCACCTCAAATACAGATGCTATACCCATTTATATATATATGTAGTTACGGTATAAGTAGATATTATAGAGCACAGCCGCAGCTGATGCCGGGAGCCTTGGGCTGCTGGATAAGGAAATTCCTTTGAGCTTTCGGCTGATTGCGCGAACGAGCTAGAAGAGCCAGGAGAAGCCGACCTGCTGGGAAAATCCAATCCAAATAAATATATTCCCGACTCGGTTAACCTTTCCTCTGTTTCTCCCCTTCCGTAAACTTTGAATTTTGTACGATTGCTGAAAAAAAAAGAGAAGGAGCACGCTACTCTCTGGGCACTTGATTCTCTGCGTCGAGCCAAGACTCTCGCTTCAATTTCCGAGGGATGAATGTACTACTAAACCTACATATTATGCGCGCATATACTTGTATGTGTGTATGCATGTAGACTCGGTTCATCCCTCATATTATACACGTATCGTTAAGTACTGCACCCCCCACCCCCAACTCTTTCTCCTCGAGCCTAAGATGCCTGTTGCGTTTTGGCACGCTCGCTTTCCTCTATTGTCGTCTCATCTCCTGCAGTTAACAGTATTATTTATATATATAAGTATATATACTGCTTCTGCTTGACTCGGTCTCTCTTTTTTTTTGTTTATGTTCTTACCCTTCCTCCACTCGAATTGTGTATAATGCGTTGTTGTTGTTGTTGTTGTTGTTGTTGTTGTTGTTGCTGTCACTAGGTATTTCTCCATATATTGAAAACTTCGTAAGTATCTTCCAGTCAATCAAGCTAAATTCTTTCTTTCTCCGTTTGTTCGTTGGCTGGTTTATTTGCTATTTCTTATACCATAAGCACAACCCACAGTTGTGCGGCCGAGCGCCCACGGGCAGAATAGTATAAGTTTTCGTATCTACTGGCACGTACATGTTACCAGATCAAGGGACAGGCCCGGGGAATACCTTGTGCTTGCTGTAGCTGGATGGTCACCATATTATATGGGCTGAACTCTATACTTTTTCTAATAAACGTCCAAAGGTAAAAAAAAAAAAATCCCCAAAATAGGAAAAAGAGCTTTATGTAGATTTTGCTTATCGATAGATAAAGTTAAAAATCATTTGAGATTTTTCATTCCTCATCTGGGCCAGGACATTCAGTTTGGAAAATAAGTCATTATAAATGTATCTAACTGTCATACCTTTCGGCAGAATCTAACTGTATTTTTCTCTCATGTTTGCAGTAACGAAGCCCGCATTTCTCTAACCAAGTGTTTGTTAGATCAGTACCACAACACAGCCACTAACTATGAATGTTAGATAAAGTAAATATTTATTATTATGATTGTAATAATAGTAGTAATAATGATAATGATATTTATTATTATTAATATTTTACAACCACGATGACAATTTGAATGAAATGACATAAAAGCGCATATTGTCGTACGCCTCTAAAGTTCAGCTCTCGTCAGAGATAAGAGAAAGAAACGTCTGCGGCATTTCACACGTTAAATATGTCACATTTTAGTACTCTATACCCGTCACTGATGCATTTCACACTCGTGTTCACAATAGTTTGTAAGGTATAATATGTATACCTTACATGCGATGCTTTTTGTTTCCACTGTTGTGGGTACACGGACACGTACAGTTTTCAGAATATGCAGTAGTACCTAAACGCACGTTTGAAGCCTGAGCATGTGTTGGCAGTGTTGGTGACACAAAACTCCGCGACGCGCATCCTCTTGAAAGCGATTTTTATCGATCACTTGGGAATAACAAATGTTTTTTTGTAGAAAAAAAAAAAAAAAAAAAAAAACTGAAAGGAAAGAGTTGACATTGGAAAAAAAAGATTCATAACCATTGATACCACTGATTTCAAAGACTCGATTGGTATATATATATATTTTTATTTATTTATATGTATTACTTTTTTTTGTAGCAAATGCATAAATTATTGCAATTAAATATTTTATTAAAATTTATTTCCATGTTACTTTGTCTTACGCAACAATATTTATCGCGTATGTTTCCAAAAAGCGTAAAAAAATCAAACCCATCGAAAAATTATTTAATAGCAATACAATCAATGTAAGCAACAATTGTATGAAATAATTTATGTAAATGGTAATGGGCGTTACAGTCAAATCGTTTACAAATAGATAATAGGTAGCATATCGATTATACATATTATACTTAAATACTCAAAGATACTTTATTTGAGTTTTAATGAAGCTTATTTGAACACTTAATTACCTTTACTTGAATATAAATATTAAAATAAAACATTACATCTGAAAACATTAGTTCAAATAAAATACTTGAACAAACGTAGATACGACCATTCGAGAACCAATAAATAAAACCAGATACTATGAGTATTTTATTTTATTAATTGGCCCTCGCGTGATCGCGGTCTAAACTTCCTTGAATATCCAATCGAATAAAAGTTTCATTTGAAATACAACATCGAAAATAATTATATTTGAAATGATGAATTAAAGTTAAAAACTTTAAGTTTTGTTCATTATTAATTAAAATATACCAACGGTTTTGTTAAAGTCATTTTAAATACTTGCAATTAATTTTTTCTTGTTTTTTTCCCCCCAAACGTTATTTTATTTTAAATACAATTGTACTTCGTTAAACAAGACATAAAATATCATATATTTTTCGAAAAATAAATACCCTATACACATGCATGCATAGTACGAGGGAGAAAGCTCATTTACGAAATTACACGATTCCACAAATGGGCAGTTAAAATCTAGTAAATCTTATAATACAGATAGGTGTGTGACTGCCATGAGCCGTTGGGATTGAAAAAAAATTTCTATGGTATGCTCTGGTCAAATAATTATCGAACGATTTAGCGTTTACCGTGGTAACGGGGAAAATATAAAAATAAAGGTTAAAAGCTAGCTGAATCACGCGCCACGTACGTATGTGCATTAGAACGTTAGGTAGGTACAGGTGAGCTACAGAAAGGAAGCCCGTGACTTGATGTAAAAATTCATGATCTCCCGATTAGCAGCGCGTATGTTGTTGTCGACGCAGCGCTCGCTGTCCCAGCTGGGACAGTCGGTAGCCTCGAAGCAGCGGGTCTGGCGCTCCATGTTGTTCGTATTTCTGCAGCAGACCACAATCGCCCAGACGCAGGGCTTGGGGCTTTTGGAGGGCGCTCGGGGCGTCACGGGAGCTGGAAAGCGATTTGCTTCCGGGCCTCGTCGGTGTGGACTGATACCCTGTAAATAATAATTATATTGTTCTCACGCCATCATTATTGATCCCTCCTTATTTATTTATTTTTTTTTTAAAATAATGTAGCATAAATAGATAGATTTAATTGCTCATTGAACTTTGCCAATTGTGCATGTAACAGTGTATAGCCCCAACCTACCACGAAAATTGAGAAAAGGATACTCATATATAACTACGATGTTCGTATACCAGAAAGGACATTCATTTTTTAATTTTCTTTTACTTGGCCGGGATAAAACTAATTACTTTTACCAAAAAAACCTAAAGTTTTTAATGAAATTTCCATAAAAAAAAATATTTGCCAATGGTTTTTTTGGCAATCATCCGGCCTTCAGTGGCGTTTGAAAAAAAGAGCTCGTTTATGGCTGTTCTGAAAACCATATTCAATTACACATGCACATACATACGTACAGTTACATGATCACGATTTTGAATTTTTTATCTGTTTTATGGGCACGCATGGTGTGATTCAAATGAAAGATAATAATACGCGGGGGTTTGGAAATTTTCCGACTCTGCGTGCACGCGAGCTTGATCTGATCTCCAAACGGTGGAGGGGAGGTACAAGCTATAATGTAGACAAATAAGATAACTAACCGGAAAATCGATGCCATCGGGATAATTGCCAGCGCCACCGAGGCGAGACGTCACTTGGGGTCGGGGCTGTTTCTTGGACGTGTCGTTGTGATTGCCGGGTACTTTTGAAACTGGCGGTGCGGACTCTAGTCTCCGCAGGTGGTCCTCCTCGTTGTCGTCATAATTGTGTTTGTCCTCGTCCCGAAGATTGTTACCTCTTGGCAAGGTTGGCATCGTTGCCGCCGTCACGGGCATTGAAGGCGCGTCACTTGACGCGGTGGTGAGGCCCATCAGGGGTGGTCTACCCTGGCGGTGCACGGTGTCGCTGTGCTTCTTAAACTCGAGGTACCTGTGACAACCAAGCGTTTTTTTGAAAAGCATAATCACAAGCCAAGCTCACGAAATCAGTTTTGACACATTTATCATACGTGTACGTTCGTTATATTATGTTGGCATCTACGTTTGCTTTGCTACTTTTCTCTCCCCCGAGTCGAACGAGCCCCACATTTGTATGACAGCTTAGAGGACTTATAACTTTCGATTGTTGAGGAATTTTTTTTTTTTTTTCAATTCTTCAACAATAACAAATAATTTGCTAGTTACTCTTACAAAGAAAATAATTACCGTAATAGTCTGAATAAAACATCGGATTGTACTTCATTAAGGAATATTTTTTTCATATACTTTCCGAGATTTTATTCGTACCATCTGATTTGCAGCTACGTAAATAATGAATTTTGAAATCAACTGTGCATTTTTTTATACTCATTGATCACGTTAATTCATGTAAAAATGAAAAAAATGATGTTATAAATATTACAGAAACAGAAAAGTAAAGGCAATAATTGTAAAATGTTACAAATACAAGTTTTTTTTTTTTTTTTTTTTTTTCTTAATTAAATTCCGTCCGATTGGTCCGCTTGTGGTACTACCTATACCTATATAGCTGTCTTGTATTTAGTTGCGCTCTCCTTCTCTCTCTCAGACTGTCACCTCACATACATATATATATATATATATATATATATATCTACTTGCTCGTGAGTTTTAATTAAAATCATGAACAGGAGCATTGTATGTAGGAAGAGAAAAAAAATAAAAGAGAAAGGAGGGAGGAAGGGCGCACCTCCTACGGTTGTCCTCCTCGTGCCAGCCCCTCTGGTCCGGTCGTCTCCTGTCCGGGTATCCAGCAGCCTCCCTGTGTTTATTCTCCTCCTCCTCTTCCTCGTCCCCGTCATCGTTCTCCCTCGCCGGCTCGAGGGTGCTCGTAGTTGCAGGCCTCTCGGTCCACCAGGGCCGTTTCCTCGGGTCCTCCCCGCCTCCCATCCTCACCGGCTTCGTTTTCACGGCAACCCCCTCTTCCCCTTCCCCTTCCCCTTGTTGTTGTGGATGGTGATGGTTGTAGTGGTGGTGGTGGTAACGGTGCGGTTGCTGGTGATGCAGGTCACCCGGAGGAGGAGGAGGAGGAGGTGGCGACGATGGGGCAGCGGTGGTAGGTCGCGACTGCAGCTCGTGGGCCTTGCGCTGCTCTTCCTCGAAGCGCCGGCTCTGCTCCTCGACGAGCCTACGGCGCTGCTCCTCCTCCTGGCGCCGCCTGTACTCGGCCTGGCGAATCGCCTCGTTCTCCCGCAGCCTCTGCCGCTCCTCCTCCTGCTCCTCCTCCCCCCCGACTCCCGCCACCGTCGCCGATGGGCCCTCGGCTCGGGGTGGCGGCCTCTCCCTGTGGAGGTGCTGCTGCTCCAACCACCTGCGGCGCTCCTCGTCGGCTCGCCTCCGCTCCTCTTGCTCCCTGTTGCTCGGGGCCACGGGAGAAGGAGGGCTCTGGTTGTCCGGCCTCGGGCCCCGGCGGCCGCTCACGTCTATCGGGGTGTTCCTCCTTATGTACTCCTGGAGCTTGCGCTCGTTCTCCAGCTCCTCGGGCGTCCTCGTCCGGTTCCTGTAGCGGCCGCTCTGCTTCTCCCGCGCCAGCTTGTCGTACTCCTCCTTCATTCGCTGCCACTGCCTCAGCCTCTCCTCGTAGCTCGTGGGTTGCTCCGGCTCCACCACGGGCCTCTTGGCCGCGGTACCCCGACTCCTCGACTCCTCTTCCTCGCGCTGACGCCGCCTCGCCTGCTCCCACCGACTCCTCCTCGCCTCCTCCTCCTCCTCCTCCTCCTCCGCCCTGTCGTGGTAGTCGTCGTCACCACCGCCTTTCACGAATCTTTTCTCCTTCGCTTCTTCCTCTTCCTCTTCGCTTTCGTTGCTGTCGTCCGCTTGGTCGCCCTGGTAGCCGTCGTTCTCCGCGTAGCCCCACGGGTCCTCGTCCCCGGTGGCCGTCCTCCAGAGGAGCTTGCGCCCCGGGGCTTGTCGCTTGTGGCGCCCCAGTTGGGCAGTGAGAGCGACCGGTACGTCGCCCCTGCCCGCGTACTCGCGACGGGGCACCTCCGTCACCTCGATGTCGCCCCGCTGGGCGCGCGCCGACGTGTCCACGCCCCAGTGCCTCAGCAGCTCCTTCAGGGACACCGGCTCGTCCCTTTTTTTCACCTGCTCGGGCGATGCCAGGCCGTACTCCTCTTCGTGGGCCGCGAGCTCGTTCAGCCGTGGGTCGTCCTCGTCGCCTCCTCCGTCTCGAGACTCTGCAATCCAAGTGGTTTTTTTTTTTTTTTTTTTTTTCCCCTCAATACAAATGTGTAAATACTAACGGCACGGTTAAGGTTAATTCAAGTCGCGGTCACGGAACTATAATTTTTGATGATTTCGTGCGATTACTCGATTCATCATTGGGCACGTACCTACGTGGTATATATTGTATACCTATACTCGGTGCATCAATATCAAGTATAGTTGGTAGCATTATTTGAGAAACGTATTAATAATCTGAACGCGAACCGAATCGTGCAAATTTGATGCGACACGCCCTCCGTGCGTTTACAACATGCCTAGACGGTCATTAATATTTATGGTAACCAAAAGGACAAAAAATAACTTTTTCGATCATCGTGATTTTAATCAACAATTTTCCATTTGAATATCACCTGTATATTTATGGGTGAGAAAGTAAGACCATAATGCATATAGTTTGTATATGCTGAAATATACATATAATTATGTGTATATGTATAGGCACACGGTGTGTCGTACTCACCGGACGTTGTCCACCACTTGCCGGGTACCGCGACTACCCCCTCCTCCGCCTCCACATCGTAGTCGTTGTTATCGTTGGCCCTCGGTCTTCCTCCTTCTGCTCGCAAGTGCGTCAAGGGGTATTGATCGGCAGCTTCGGTGTAAGCAAACGGCAAGACTACCGCCAAAAGCAGCAGAAGCCGGGGTGTGGTGGAAATCGCCCTCATGGCCGTCACTATCTCTCTCCCCCTTATTCTTTTCTACCTCTTTGACTTTTTTTTTTTTCCTTTTGTCCTCTGCAATCGGCAGATCCTGCAAAATGCCAATTGCTTTTATTTCCAAATACTTTCATGCATCTATTTTCTGTAAAATGTATGATGAAGGTGGTAACTTTGCGTGAATAATCATGCATCTATGGAATAAAAGGGAAAACCGACCGCGCGGAAAGTAAAGAAAAAGTACGATAATGAATTGGTGCGCTAATTGAAAATAGTCGAGAGTTCGCATTGTACTGCTTATTTATTGCGTAGTGTAAGTTGCCTTTGACGGTAAACAAAAATATTTGTTTGAACGTTTTACCCGTCCCGTTCAAACTATCGATGATGATGATGATGATGATGATAATAACAACAGTAATAATCAGCAATGCGTGGGTGTAATACAGAGTTGGGGGCCAAAGACGTTTCACGAAGCGATTTACGGGAGGTCACATTATTGCACGTCTTTGCTGCCTCTGCTCTAAATACAACACGGCCGATCGGAGGAAAACAGCTGCACGTGGGAGGGAAAAAAAGAAGGAGGAACATGAAACGAGAGAGCATCTCGCCTTTGTTGTACATTGTATATGTATGTGTCTCTGTTGCATGTGTACGTGTGACTGGGTGTATGTAGAAGCACAATACGGTGTGCGCCTTGCGTCACCATCGAATTTTCAGCGCAGCGGAAGCCGGTCACATGAGCTTCTCGAGTGGCTGCAAGCTCCTCCTCGCCCCCTACACCCCACCCCCGCTGTCCTGCTTTATCGTGAAAATTTTCTGACGCAGCGAAGCTCGAGATTTATGTGAGCCGGCCGATAAGAAGTCTGTGTAAATCATCTCTCTCTCTCGAGTTTCGAGGCTTTATCTATCGTGCGTTCGTTTATTCGTTTTCTTCGACGCGACGATGCAGGCGAGCCGTTTTCGAATGACGAGGATCGGTGGAAGGCTTTCTTTTTTTTTCTCTTAACGGCCAGGTGAGATAACGGGTTCTCTGAATGTTCTCGAAATGATCGTTGGTCCGTGCGTATGATATGGATGCGATCTCGCAAAAAAAAAAAAAAAAAAAAACTTTAGTCAGAAAGAAAGTCTTCCCGAATTGAAAATGTTCACGAACGTAACTTAAAACCCAACGCGTGTGACGCGATTTTTGGGATATTTGATTTTTTTTTTGTTCGTGAAACAATTCTTATTTACGTTTGTATCGAATTTTATCGGAACAGGCTTATCGAGTAGTAGAAAATGTGTTTATGCTTATTTTGTCTCATGCCGTAGTTTTGAAAATTGAAAATTCATCTTTGGCAAATGTCAGGGTTTTTTACTTTTTGTGAAAAAAATTAAAGCTATATTGCTCGACTGACATTAAAATAAACTAAACAATATGAAAGAAATAATTATCATCATCATCCAAATATCCCAAGCAGTAGTAGTACCGGAGCTCTCTTTTTCTCAGGCGTTGCATTGGTATCAAATAAACTTAATTCATATGGGCCGTATAATGTACACACCACGTAACCCGATTCTCGAACTCTCAGTTTCAAGTGACATTATTTCATTGGATGATTTCTCACAAGAATGGCTCCTCTCTATAATAGCTTCAAATTCAAATGGGCGTCCGAGAATCGGATTACGTGCGGTGTGCGCACTTCACATGTACAACCATTTCGCCGTAGACACCATCGTATATGTGTTAATGTAATATATATATATATATACATATATGTACATGCTGCCTCGCAAGTGTGCTGTTGTAATTAATCTTTGGTCCTCTCGCCTCGGGAAAATTCGTTTTTGCATCACATGCAATGTCCAGGTATGGCTGGGCTCGCCGATAACGATTTAACGATTAGCAGAGTTAAAGTAAAACAGGTATACTTACACGCGTGGATGTGTGACGTGTCCATACCTGTAGGTATAAATCATACGAAAGTGACCCAATTGATATAAGGCCAACGAAGGTGACTGATTCAAATAGTGGTCGCGCCCTCGTACCCTGTACGCTCTGCCGCAAAAGTTTTCCTATATAAATATATACGTATATATACGCGTACCTGCTGGCATTGTCGCATCTCGCAACTATACGATGATTATGACAAAGACAACAGCAACAATATCGACCTACACTAGCTAACGACTTGATTGATTTTAAAACGAGACGTTGATGTTTTGTTTTTTTCCACGTTTTATCATAGCTGTATAGACGTTTTATCGTATAGACATGAGGGCAAGAGAATGAAAACTGATTTTCGATCGAGTTTCCGAGAAGAGCGTGAATAACATGAATAGCTCATCGAAGTGCTCGCCTTGGCATCGATCTCTTTCTCTGCGTTCCCCGCGTTGCCCCCATAAGACCAATACACGCGCGCAAATCATAAGACTGATTGGTCCACAACACCTCTCTGCTTATACACACTTAATTGAGTATTATCCAGTTGTATGGGTTTTACTAGGCATTGTACATCACATTGTAGGCCATAAGTTTATACGCGCGATAAATTCCTTTTAACGCATCATATACTCAAGTCACAGTATGTACATGTAAACTCTATTTACAATGTCATGATTTGTTGTGTCGCGCATGTGTGGGTTGGTTGGGTGTGCGTCGTTCAATTATGTCGCGGGGAACAATGAGCGAGCTTCGTCGCGTATGGAAGAAGTAAGGAAAAGCGAACAAAAAAAAATGAATCAATCAAAACATTCCTACGATTAATTATGATTATTTGTCATTGCGCCAATCAGTCATCCGCGTGATGCTAAGTGCACACGCCGGGATTAATAATTGTACGAGTGAGCGCGACCGACGTGGCCATTATCGATTTATGGGTACGTATACGTATGTGCCCCGTGTTTTGCTTGTCAGCAGTATCTCTAACTAAAGAGGCGACGAGCCCACATGTTCATACATGTATATACGATCATATGACTATGTGACATTGAGTGTAAAAAAAAGAAATGTATGAATCGCGCAATTTTTATTGGAAAAAAAAACAAAACGAACAAGACCTAGTAAGATACCACGGTATTGTTGTGTTGTTTGATGAATGATGTACACACACATAAAATGTCAAAGTATACGTTGACAATTAACTACTTGAGAAAATTTTGTTTAATCGACACGCGACAAATCGTGGATTTGAAAAATACAACTTGAGAATGGTATGCTCGAAACCCTATTATCTGTAAAGCCTAGTTGGATATAATTGAAAAAAAGCTCAGTATCCTTCCAGAGGGCGCGTATAGCTTCTATATTAGCTCCGACTATTGTCTGTACATAAATACTTGTTTATCGGTGCAAAGGGAATATACAATTTTATGTATGCGGGTGTGCATGAAGTGCGACCAAAATTAATTAATACTCTCTCCCTCTGAGTAAATAATAAAAGTAAGAATTAAAGTAAGAACAAGTAAAGTTTCCAAGGAAACATCGATTTCCAAGAACAAATACACAATGAACTTGATCGATCAAACATCCATAATCTCAAAAAATCAATGGTTGCAAACAATCACTCATTACGGAAATAAGTCATCCACACAATAACAAGTGGATTTACGTATTGTTATACTCTACAATGGGTAGAATATGCCACTGTTATAGTCGTTCTCCATTACTGCAGGTTTACCATTCCACGCACGTATTCACTCAAGTTTGGCAAGAAGACAAAATGTTTGGATACCTATACATGCTTTTTTTTTCCTTCGCGAATAAATCGTTGAACCAAAGCGTCGCTCGTTTCTACAGTCAGAGATATTACATCACGAGGAAAAAAGGAATTGATCTTTACGCTCGGGTAATTTTTTTTTTTTCTCCCCGACAGACATCTACATAAAATACCGATATCCCCCGTGCGTACATTGTGCGGCTGCTCATACATTCTTATGCACACGTGTGTAGGTGCGTGTATCAATATTTACATATATATATATATATATATATATATATATAAGCCTATACGCTAGTACATTGGTAATGTGTAAGACTGTTTAAATGCACACAGCACACGTGNTATATATATATATACACGTACAAGTAGAATTACCGCATGTACTTCGCGTGTATGCGCAAATTTATAAACGAGGGAGACCGTGACGAATGGGCATACGAGTAGGTATACACACGCGTACAACGTACGTAAGCGTATAACATCGAAAGTTCAGTCAGACAGGCACACAATAGATGACAGTATGATAGTTATGCGATACCAAACTACACAAGTAGGTACGCACGCTCATACCCCAATAGGCATGGGTACCTATCTTATAACGCATTTCAGCTTCATGCAAATGAGCATAAGAAGACCATACTTATAAGTAGCTGAATACAACAGTTTTGAGTATATTGTTTGGAAGTATAGTCAAGAAGAAAGATGTGAGTATGTATACGTAGGTGTACTCATCTTTTCAAGAAGTGCGCACGAGTGTATACTGTAAGTACCTAATGTATGCTCTCACGGGGAGTATGTACCTTACGCCAAGCGCGATGCGTTCCTCGCATAAATCCATATTTTTTTTTTTCTTTCCAAACCAATTGTCGAAAATTAAAAGTCCCTGATTCGTGGAAAGAAAGCGCTGCCTTGCCATGGAAAAATCTGTCGTGGCAGTTGGGGGGAAAAAAAGAGCTGACAAATGGTAGACAATTATAGGCAACGTGCCATCAAAACTTTTCTCTCTGTTGAACAAAACGTATATTGCAAAGCCCATTTTCAAGGTAGCGCTTTCTTTCCCAGACGTTTCGTCCATGTGGGAGGACGCGAAGGATTTCTGCCTACCTATACGAGAACTTAACCACGGTGACGCTGATGGTGGATACATAAAAATGGCATGAAAAAAAAAAAAAAAAAAAAAATATACGATTCGCTCGATGGAGCGAGAGAAACGGTTGGTTCTCCCCAACTCGCATCTTAAAGAGGAGTAAAAGTAGACCAGCTATAGTTGGAGTTTTGTGCGACTTGCGACAACATCTTGGCTTGAATGAAATTAGCGCCACCCGCAGTCGAGCTTTGCGCGGAAAGTTGTCGCGTACAAATAATACAGGGAAGGGTCACAACAATTTATGTGGCAAATACATAAGAAAGTTACTCACTGAACTTAATTTATGGGAAAAATTTTTCCTCCTGTAGATTTACTTTTTCTTTATCTTTGGACATTTACTGCACCCTTGGTAGAAAAAACTTGTCTTCGCACCTGGTGGCGCATCCACAAGCACAAGGGGTCCTAGCGACACGCGCCAACAAGTACGGAAATTGATATCAACACTTAAAAATCAGTAATCTATGAGTGCACTGTGTAATAATAATAAAGCAGGTGCACACTAGATGTTCATAGCAAAGTTATGTATTGTCCAGAAGGTTTGGAAAAATTATTTAAAAAATGGCCACTTCTCAATACCGATAACTCAAATCAATAGTTTTAATTAATTTCAAAGTAATAAAGTAATAGAAATAACTTATACTAAGTTTGCAAGTGCTGCATGCCGTTTATTCTAAAGGAAATTTTTTTTTTATTTCCAAAAAAAACTATTAATAAAATTCCCTCCTTATTTTTTAATATTTCCATCATTCAGAGAGATATGGCTATTTAATAGGCATACACAGTTTATTCGAATGGAAATTTTTATCAATTTCAACGATTATGAAATTCTCCGTCTTTCTCGATATTTGCATTATTAACGGATATTTTTCTCGGGATAGAAAAATTCAGAAGTTACAGCAAAGCCGATGCTTCCTAGGTGTTTTCCAGCAGTATAATTTACTATGAAAATATTAATTAAATTATTCTGAACTACAATTGATTAAAATAATAAATTTGAATTATTTTTAATGGTTAAAAAATATCTTACTAATAACAATAATAGTAATAATAATAATAATAACTGTTATAGTGAATGAACCGAATGGAGTTTGGATTTAACTAGTTGCGTAACGCGCGAAGCAGCTAAAAATAATTCATGATTGAATGTAGAGAGACGCGCGCGAAAAAACCCCGTGGTAGCCGATGGCTTATCAAGATACATATCCAAACAAGCGAGTCCTCGGATTCTCAAATATATGACTCACAATCAGATGTTAACAAAAAGCTGGGAAAAGCTCGTCACGCGATCAATCATTTCTCGCTACGCTAAAATTTTTGCATGACAAAGAAGGGTATAGTCCGGATTGTCAATATAATTTCACTGTTATCACTATTATACTGTTATTATTGTTTAATTTATCATTGTTCAATTCACACGAGATTTGCGTATTGTACGGGAGCATGTACCCTGGTAGAAACGTTACTACATAAACTGGCTAGAAACTCGTCAACATTTTGTAAGCCCATTTGAGTATGTACATTGACGAGTTTCTAGCCAGTTTATGTAGTAACGTTTCTACCAGGGTATGTGCCAGTATAATATTGTAACAGGCTATAGTGTTTCTAGTCTTAGTTTCTAAAATGTTTTTCATGCCCCGTGTAGGCGTAGTTATATACTATTCGTATAGTCCACATCGGTAGAGTATGCACACCTGTACCAGCAGTGCAGATTTTTAAAACTAGTCCGTAGTGCTGGGATGCATTGGATCTCTAATCACAGATGAGCTCGGATAAACTGCTATCTCCGCGTCTCCGCATACATAACGGCTAACGCGCGCATGCCCTCTCCGGTGGATCAATCGCAAATCGTAAATAATCGGCTGAGCCTCGAAATTATACGAACCTGCGCGATGTTCCTGATATATGTAGATTTATGGTTGCACGGTATAAGTACCTTACGAATGAATCGAGCATTTCGCCGGGGCAGCGCAAAAAAAGGATATTTTCGGGACATTGAGAAAAAAGCCTTTTGCTTAAAGCATTTATATCGGTTAAAATAATTACTATCATGAGGATAATATTAAAATTTACTTTAAGTAGAGAAAATTACAAGTTTAGAGCGTTTACTTGATGGAAAAGTTAGTCTAAAAATATATGTAAAAGTGCATGTTTTTTTTTTTTTTTTTTTTTTTTCCTCGACTTGAAATGACAGCCAATTACGTTTCTTTGTATACGATTGGTAAATAAATAATGAAAACATACACAACAACGATTGTACCTTACATGTCGTTACTTTATGGTCCAAATTGAAGCGTCGAACGGCTTAATTAATCTGTATAGGTATACAATTGCAAATTCGTAATATGATATATTTTGTAATTGATATCACTAATATCAGTAAATATCCAGTTTATATAGACTATATTATATTACATGATAAAAAATAAAGATATCCCAGTACGATTTGATGAGCAAATCTGAACTTTCCTAGTTTTAGTCAGAGGCATAAGTATATTTACGTATGGATCTTCCTTTAGTCGAACCAACGCAATTGTGATAACATATGGTTTTTTTTTATTATGTATACCACAAACGCTCTAAACCTGCAGTTTTTGTATTTGCAATCAAATTTTAAGTTTATCTTCGTGATATTAAACACTTCAAGAAGTATAAGATACAGACAATTAAAAATTGAAGGAAAAAAAAATTTTTCTCAGTATTTCTTTCCACATATCCTAATAAAAATCGTTTATATTACGCTGATCTGTCGATTATTCCACAAATTAAAAATATAGCGATTTATGAAGTGTACAATGCTAACAAGTGTTTGAAAAAAAAAAAGAAATTGGCTTGTCATCTCCCGTTTAACGAGCTGTATCAAATCATATAATTTTTGCACGGTAAAAACGTTTAAAAAACGTTAGTACGAATATATACCTACATCATGCAACTAAAGTATTGCATATCCCGTCACTTATAATTTAACACGCCTACATCATGCGTGCACAAGCAAGCGTATGGCAGGCGTGTTTAGCACTGTACAGCGTTCGAGTGGTTCAGCTTAGTTGAGCCGGTAAAACATGATAATGGATAATAAATCGATTTATTTTATTTGTTTCAAACTCTCGTTGAGTACTACTTTGATATACATATTGTTCAAGTACGTTGAACTATGCTCGCACGATGCTGCTATCGTTGCATATTATATACCCCTATAGCCCAGGCTCAATCTTACGGAAACCAAGTAATTCAAGCGACTGTCACCCTTCATCCGTTATCCTTAGCTCCCTTTTCCACAAGAGTGCGTGTGTTGAAGCGCCAACCCGCCCTTTCATCCTAACTCATCTACGGAGCGAATATAATGAAGATATTCGTGTTAGAACAAAATTATGTCACTAGGAAATGTACAAATGTACCTACTTATTTTCTCGTGCATTTATTGTATAAATATTATTCTCGTGTGCATATTTTTACTCATCCTCCTATGCGTTTACCTATAACTACGCTCGTACCTATTGAATTAAATTAAATTGAATGTCATTTGACTCCCCCGAATGTATACCCATACGATTTTTCTTTTTTCGCGACGACCTGTTGCTTTGGCGTGGGTCGCTTTTCTACGAATGAAAAAAAAAAAAAAAAAAAAAAAAAAAAAAAAAAAAAAAAAAAAAAANTTCGAAAACCTCCATGATTTTAAAATACACAAACTCAGAAGCGTCTTTTGGATCATTCAGATCAAAGTCTATGAAGAGTTTCTCCTCTCTCCTCCATCAAACAAACAAAAAAAAAAAAAAAAAGATCAAAGTTTTTAACAGCATTACGCTGATACGCGGCCGCGCACAACAAAGGAGGCGTATCCAATAGGGCTTTGGCAGTTTTTTTATGCCGTTTCCACGTAACATATTCTGTAAGATTTCTCAAGCAGAGAAAAAGGGAATTAATCGTAATGTACCTGTTGAAGGGGGAAGAAATGTTTCCGCACGATGGCCTATACACGCGTGTAGGTACCTGCATCCCAAAGGAGAATAAGAGGAAGAGGAAAAAATGACAATGTCAAAAAGAGAGAAAGGACGAAAAATTTCGAGCAAACTCGCTACACCTTTGCGTGCATTAGCATACATTTTTGTACGAGAGAAAAACACTGAGAAAAAAAAAATGCCAAACGTATACACACGCAGAGGAGTTTCCTTTCGTCTATACGGACGAGACGAGAGAAAAAGAGATTACGCATACGTCAAGGGGGACATGTATCGACAAGTATAAAAAAGGGGGAAGAGAATCTACGGGCAATAAACACGGGGAGCCCCCTTAAAGTTTAATCGCCCTAATCTTAGTACCTAATGATTATACGAGTGATAAAACCGTAGCATTTGTTATAATTAGCATACGTTTGGCCAACGGGTTATATAAATATACACTGGCAGGGTATGGGTATATGTAACGTATTAATGCAATGGTAAAAACTCACCTACGCCGAAAACAACATCAGCAGCCACAACAGTAATTGCTTATCTTGAAACAAAAAAAAAAAAAGAAAAAAGAAAAAGGTCGAAACAAAGTCGAGCCCCGTACAACACACACTCCCTGATGTTCCGAATCGGAGCAAGTATCGGAAAATAATCGCGGACGAGTCGCACTGGAAGGTGTCCGATCGCTCGCCGATCTAAGCGCGCACTAGGATGGGTGTAGTTGTTGTTGCGCCGCTATATATATATATAAGTACCCTACACAGCCGTTCTCGTATCACCGAGAGAAGCGAGGCGAAAAAAAAAGGGGGAGGACTACTCGCTCATTATCCGCGCGCGAGAGCAAGCTCCGTTATATTGTGCCGGAGGAAGGAAAAACCTCCAGGGGATGGCGGGGGGAGAGTTTTGCAGCCTAGGGATAACTTTTGCGGTAGATGCGTATAATGTGAATATACCTTGGCTAAATAACAAAAACGTTATAAGTATGTGCCCTCCTATATGACGTGTACGCACAGCCTCGTCACACTCGCGTATACATGCATCAGGATAAGCAACACACGACTCTTAGAGCTGACTCTTGCCGAGCGACGATTTATAAACGCACGAGCCGGCTCTCTTTTTACCCCCTCCCCCCTCCTCTCCTGTATCTATCTTCCTTGTGCTTCCTATTGCTATGTAGTATATATACTATACACTATGCTCTCCCTCTACTCCTATGTATACATACACGTATAGGTATGCTTTGCTTGCAATAACGTACTCACTTATTACGTACCTACTATCTATCTATCTGCTCCGTTCATTCGCAGTTTTACTTCTTCTTCTTCTTCTTCTTCTTCTTCCGGCTCATATTATACGTATATGCACGTGGGTACAACCCACCTTGCATTGCCCGTGTAGTGACCGGAGAACGGGGCTTGACACTATTTTTTGCCAACACCGCTGATTTGTCCTTAGGTATAATATATAATACATATTTCCCCTGACCCCCACTTCTTGACCGTTATTCTGCGTACGAGTCCGCGATTATTTTTTTTTGTGCACAACATAATGGGTATGTACCGATAATTGTTACAGATGTTTGCAGTTATTTATATTTTATAAACATATCATCCAAATGTGTAGGTATACTTGTTACACATTACCCTATGTGTACATTGCACGCGTAGAGCCATCAGTACGTAGTATTGGTGTACCGATCATGTTGAAGTGTAAAAATATACCGGTGACGCTGACGCGATCCGATCTTTTGCTCATTCGTCACCCAACCGGCCTATAGGTATATTTGTATGTATGTACACCAGCTCTGCGTCTATTGTCATTTTTATTTTAAACGGCCGGTGGCAGGCTATGCTGTTGTTGTTTCTAAAGTCGGGGATTACGTGGTGCTCTCCGGGGGGGTGTATACAATATCATACCTATACTTACCTATTTATATATAGATACCAAAGATGCACTCTAATATATTCCATGTACTTATAAATATGCGCTTGCGTTCCTTTCGATTGATTCGTCGCGGTGTTGTGTAGGGCCAGGGCACCTTACCTTTCCTTCGACGAATCAATTAATAATCCGAAAAACAGGAATCAATCACAGGGAAAAATAGGAAAAACTGCAATTTTTCCTTTATTTGCATTGGTATAAATATACGTATGGTGTCTCTCAATCCATGCAAACGAATCCTCCCCACATAGTCCATTATTTATTGTACTACAAACCTCTTACAACGTAGGTATACCTGTATTATACGTGGAGTGTATATTTATACAGCGCGAGATCCATTCCATCGAAGGACTCTATCAATCCGTATGATGGACGTACACACGCATATATTTATGTATACAGATCATTACCCGCACTCGTAAACATATACCATGCCGAGTGTGTCATGTGGGGTATATATTGCGGCTTAAAATAGATGTAAGACATAAAAATCGTCGTGTCTCTCGAAAGGCTCGTAGCAACCAAAGTATGTGCTATAAATGTTATTTAATAACAACAAAAGTTGGCAAAAACGATCCTTTTTCTCTCTCTCTCTCTGGCTCATCAACTAACTACCTCTCACTGTAATTAAGTATACCACCTGCTATGTATATATATTTACCTTTACCGCTACTTATATAGTAATGCTGCACGATATCCACGACATTCATTGACCTATACCAACGGCTAAAAACATGTGTTATTCCTCATCTCCTCTTCTTCTCCCTTGATTTCCCGCATGTTCTTGATTAGAGACACATTCACATGCCGCGGGCACGAGAGCACCACGTATAATGGCTCTTATACAAGTGTATCATACATATATATATACATATACATATATATATATACATACGTATGTGTATGGATACACACACACACACACTCGCACTGTGCAATTTCCAGAAACGCTTGTGCAAAGGGAAGGCGTGTTTTTTTTTGTGTGCAGCCTCCGTCAGATGCTTATGAGCGATAAACTATAGAGAAACTTATGCTGCCGGTTGGTTTCTTGTGTTTTACATATAGTTCAATCTGTTCGTATGCATAAAATATATGATTTTTCATAATATATCATCATGCACAAATATCCGTGTTCTAAAATACCTACTGAAAATACGTATAAGACATTACGTGTAAGATATACATATATACAATGTATCTACAGCTCATAGATCGCTGTCGACACGTTAAGATTTCGATTGTGTATACCTTATATGTAGGTATGGGGTCGGATCAACATACCAACTATATATTATACTGTTGCTGGCTTTTCCAACTTCGCCATACATGCGTGTATATTATGATGCTTCATACCTTTAAACTCTCAGTACATAGACTAACACATCAGAGTGAGAAATAAGGAGAGCTTTGGCAAACTGTTTGTTAATCGAATGAAATTAGAGCAACGGAAGATTCTATCTCTCCCCGATTGCGGTCCAAAATAAATTAATTGGGGGCAGACTGTGCTCAGTGCACACAAGATTATTCATTACAATACCTGATGCACTTATCGATACTATTGCCGTTCAATATTTATATGCTTGCGTGCAGCTTGTCAAAACACTTTGGTTTTTTTTTTTTTTTTGTTTTTTTTTACATCTTGTTACCATACCATCAGTAGAAAACAATTGCAGTGATCACTACTTCCGAGAATTTTTTCAACTCACGCTCGGTTCTGTGACAAAAACTAATATTTTTTTAACGTGAGAGCAAAGTGCTGCTCGGCAAAAAAAACCCTCATTCACGACTCGGGCACAAACGTACACCAACTGCGCCCGTACGTGATACGAAAACTACTTTACTGGTTATTTTTTGAATGTTATAAATAACACTTCGTTATGCACAACAGCTGTAAAACATTTCAGAGAAATATATCTGACATCGATTTTAATGATTTTTGCAATCCTTATTTTTACGAATAAATTATTGCTATTATTATTTAAAAATCGTGGCCATTCTGTATGGACACGAGCTTTGATCGATCGTAGTGACGATAAAAAGTTTTGATGTACATCCTGGCAGAAGGTGAATTTTCTCTCACTGAAATAAACTATACCTCTCGACCCTTATACACGTACATGTGACTGATACCGGTACAGATACCGATCGGATCTCGTGATGGCAGCCTCTTTTTTTTCCTTCAGAAACAATTGCTGCTCGGCATATCAGAGCAGAGCTTACGACTCAAGGGGAGAGAGATGAATTTTTCATTGCTGTGGCATTGATTTTTTTGTGAGTTAAGATTGATCTTTTTCGCTTAATAATGCTTGCATATTATATATACTTGTAACACATAGGTATACATACTTTTTGCTCGAAAATAGGTGAAATTAATTTTTTTTTTTTTTTTTTTTTAACTTTATTTACTTGTAACCCGGTTTTGCGTAGTCACGGGACATTTTATCAAATGATTTTACTCTCAGCTGAAATAAAGCATAAATTCCTAAAATGTAAGAAAATGTAATAGGAACCTGGCAATTTTTGTTTTTAAAAGAAGGCTCAACATTTTCCATCAATTAGCCACGTGCATTCTGGTTACCTATACGTGCATTGCAATAATACAATGAAATGCACAAGGGAAAAAAAAATGGATAAGTACAGTTCTGTGTCCTCCCGGGTGTGATGTATCTTTTTTTTCCTTTTGTTTTTTATCTTTGTCCTCGAAAAAACGTTACTTTGCGCCACCATCTAATCTCACCGATAAACTCGTTTCTGCGGATGCCGGTGCAATTACGTGCTGTATGGCTGTAGCTACGTGCACTCTCCTTTTCTCGGAGGAAAAAAAAAGTTAAAAATAAAACGCCATAACGGGGGGGGGGGGGGGGAAATCCCTTAGGACATGTGCGTACAACGCAGGCTATGTATATTAATAGAGATGATCCACATGAGCTAGCCACTGTACTATCACTGTCACCACTTACAAATATATATTGTTACGTACAAGTAAAGATTAGCCGTACTATTGGTATCGTTTCATAGGAGTAAAAGCTGATTAAAACAAACAATCGGCGCATACAAGACGCCCACGCATGATTGTTGCCATGTACAATAACAGCCTACATCGAAAAACGGTGATGCCAAATATGCGCATAATGTATATAACATTAGCGTCACTTTTTTACGTTTTAAATAAACAAAACAAATTTTCACAAGCCTTGTGCTGTTTAAGTCGTGGCCCGAAAATCTGATCAAACCAACAAATTCCCGAAGAATATTTTTGCAAAGGCACGCAGTTGATTGCGAAAATTCCAGTTAGAGCAGCTCTGGCTGGACCATAAAAATTATACCTTGTTTTAGTCATAAACAGTGAAAAAAATAATTTTAGACAAATGTTTGTAAAGTACTTCACATAGGTAGGTACATGTTACCTTTATGTTATCGTAAAAGCTTAACTCGAGCTTGCAAGCCGAAAAAACGTAATTAGTACAAAAGATAGTAACCACCAAAGCCATGATGGTTGTAGGTATATAGGAGTCGAGGGTCGGGGAAACACGTACATTCTCTCACTGAAAGGGAATATTGGCTGACTGGCTGTACGTGTGAATAAGGTGACAATAGCCGCGTTGACTGTAGGCTTGCAGTCGGTCAAAAGCGAACACAAGCTTTGGCTCGGCCGCAAAACAGGGCCTCCACCCAAGTAAGCGATACACCGAAAAATAGAAATTTTTCCTCAATAGAAAATGATAGCTCCTAAAAGTTATCAAAGGAAAAATTTACATTTTCCAATGTACATAATAAATATATACATCCCTTACTTGGGTGGAAGCTCTGTTGCACGCGCTTGATACCCACACCCCTGCACTATTATAACACCGGTAGAGCCCCTGCGGGGTGGTGAGCCGTGTCATCCGTTTTGTGATCCACGGGCAAGTGAACGAGCTTTTCGACTCCCCCTCTGGGCCCCTTTTGTCCTCCGTATCTTTGGTGCCCCATACGTGGGGTATTTATATACACCTGCTCGTGAAAAGGCGCGCGCAACTCGGCAAAAAGTCAACTGGACAACGACAGAGGAGTATATGGGTGGTATCTACCAACTCGCCTATATGACTTATACGCTGCAGTACAACGTGGGATAGGTACACCTATCGGTTGGCCGTTATGAACACGTTCTTTTTCATTCATCGGTACTGTTTATTCTTACCTTTTTTTTCCACTCGGTCTTTTAGGGTTCGATTACATTGGGGTTGCTGCGTAAAAAATAAAAAACATCGACAAAAGTTGATGGTGTGAATTGTAACTATAGTCAGATGATCGGCGCCACTACAGCCACGGATAATCCGAGGGCCAGTGAAGCGTCAGATGAGGAATTCGGTCATCGTAAGAAGTTAGTGTTATAGTGGCCATGTGACGTTATATATACTTTTTTTTTTTATTTTTTTTTATTCATCATCGCCCCCTAAGGGGCTCAGACATGGCTATTTTGACACTATAAATTGTATTTAGCCATACGTTGCTTAATTAACAGTAGGTGTGAAACGGTAGGTTTTCAATGAAGCTGAAATTCCCTCCAGAAAAAAACCTCATTAATTAATGAAAAATTTTGTCCAGAGTGGGATTTGAACTCCGGTCATCAAGATCTGTAGTCATATTTACTTTATATTTACTTGAATGAAGTTAGGAGGGACGAAATCGACACTTTTAGTCGCATGTTGACTCCCCTCCCCCCACTTTTTCTCTTTGGCTTTGCGTTGTGTTATTTATTCTGTACTTCTTTTTTGATTCGAGAAAAATTTTTTTTTTTTTTTTTTTCTATTTATGACATCGATTTATACAACTAGAGGCAACAGAGAAAACAATAAAAATACCCTACTTATAAGTACATGTAGTTTTTTTACATTTTCCGCGAGATTGCTTTAATGAGTTAGTTCTTTTTCTTTGTACTCTCACGGTATGAAAGTACTTCATTATTTTTCCAAAACAAGTGCGAGAAGAAATCGTTTTTTCCTTTTGTATCTCTGTGGATCTTAAACGTAAAATGTGCGGTAAAATCCAAATGAGCGACTATTTTTAACCTTTTTCTAGTCTTGGGGCAAACGTGTCATTATTTCACTTGCTAAGGAAAAGACATCGAAAGATTGATTATACCAAGTTTTTAATCCTCATTCATTATTATGAAAGATTTATTACTTTGTAACCTAAAGCTTAGGTATTGACGAGTTTTCTCTACAATGTCATTTTGTATACCTGAAATGATACAACAACTTCTTACTATATTTTTAATGTTTATTATTGCTGTTTGAACAATGAAGAATGTTGATTGGGTGACGGTGTTAAGTCATGTATAACTTTTTTTAACGAAACAAATCGTTGATTTTTTTTTCTCTACTTTTTAATGTTTTCTCTTACTTGGATGCAATGAAAATACTTAAAAAACAAATTTTTTGTTTCAAACGGTTAAAAAAACGTGCAAGATGATAAATTTTCAAGTTGTAATAAAAACACCAGTTTTAAAACGCTCGCTGCACACTTATTTCTTCTTGAAAGTAATTATTCGTAATCCAGTAGAAGAACGAAAAAAAAAAGCACGCTCAAAACCTACATTTTTTTTCCTGCAATTTAAGTAGTGGAGCAAAAGTAGGAGAGAGAGAGAGAGAGGCTCCCCGCATGTCCAAGTCTTGAAAATGATACGTTAACGATAAACGCGTGCACGTGGCTTTCCCGATAATCGATGAAAATCCGGAAACAGCTGGCCCTTGTATAATCGCAAATTCAAAGCTCAGCCTCTCCCCCGCTAATCCCAAACACGCAAAGCTCCATGCAAACAGATTACGGGGGAGAAACGTAGCAACATAGCAGTATATAGGCCGTAAACACTTGAATTATAAGAAGAGGCAAGCGCTGCAGGCACTTCCAAGCGCAGCGTCTGGTCATCTCCTTCTCTCCTGCACCAGCGCGAGAGAGGAGCAACACGTACCTACACGAGCCTATGATGTATAAATATGTACTTACGGAACATCGGCCTTACATCAGCTTGCACTCGCCGAGCGTAAGAGATGGATTTGGCCGCTCGCCAATCCTCTCTGAGTCACACTTGTATAGAAAGCCGAAAAAGCTTGCTTACACCCCCCCGAGCCAAGTAGCGGCAACCGAGAAAGGAAGTGTACATATTACGTGTGCCTATACCTTTTTTTTTTTTTTTGGAGGGGCGCAAAAGCACTTGGAAAGCTTTTTCTCTACTCCCCCCGCACTTTTTTTTTTCTTTTCCTTTCTTCCGCCTCTGCACCGCGCGCGCACACAGTAAAATAAGGGCATTATGCGCACCCGCTGCTAAGTAAGTAAAGTGCATTTATGGCTCTCTGTTTCGCGCTTACCTAGCACTCCTTCCTATCTCTGAGTGTAAGATATAAATATGTGCGCGCGTCCTTCTCATCGCGTATCAATAAGTTAGCATTGTTCCTTTTGTCTTCTCGGTTATACAGAGACGCTTGTATACTTTTAGCACATTCTCTTCTTCCTGTTGCACGATGTTTCATGTTTAATTGCGCATTGTTGGCTGTAACATCTATGGGGGTACCGCGGATACGTGCCTTACATTACACCCGCGCACGCGTCCTTACGAGACATCAATGTCGTCGCGACTCATTCGTAGTCTACGTGCAATTATTATTACCTATGTGATGGACACTCTAGAGCGCGCCAACAACATCATTTCAACATTCAAGGAAAAAGAGGACTTTCGTTTTAAATGATCAAGGGATATTTTCACGGGACATTGCCATGTACGTGGATTGAAATATGGTTTTTGAAAAAATAAATTCACATTTTTATACCGCCCGTTTTATAACTTTTTCCAGAATAATGTGCAGGAAAATTTCTTGTTTGTTTTGAACGAGTAAAAGAAAAATCGTTGTCAAAAAATTTAATTTCAGTAATTTGTCTAAAAAAAAGAAAAAAAAAAAATATCTGTTTAAACAATACCTGACCACATTTTTGACTACCAACATGGACTTTAATACATATTGTAGGACATTTCGAGAGAGATTTTATTAAAAAAAAAAAAAAAAAAAATCCATCCAAATAACCTTTTGTGGTGCTGTGATGGACTAATATTCGCGCGCGAGGCCAACTGTTCTTGCGATTGTCCCTCCGTATAATCTGCCGATCTCGTGCTCCGAGCTACTCATCCGGCTTCCACAAATGATCGTATAGGCGCGCTTGGGAGTGTCCTGAACAGTAAACAATTAACCAGCACGCCAAGCGGCAGGTTCTCTTCCGAGGGACCTTGTCGCATTCAGTGCGCTCTTGTGCCCGTTCACCACTCGATCATATATAAATTTACATTGAATCATTGAACCATACCTGCAAATTAACGTATACCTACCCACATAAGTAATTATTTCCGTACTTATGTGTTCCAGCGAGTACGAACCTCGTCGGTAAATTCACCCAGAGCGTACGGAGAATCGTCCAGGACGTCAAGGATGAGGGGACTGCCAGTAAGTCACGCGTACTCTTTGTGTTTTTTGTTCCAAGATCAACTCAAATACTACTCGTACCATATAGCACTTCCACGCGTGCGTACATTATTTTATACCATATTGCGGTCGATGATTAATCGTCTTGTAATACTATCTATGTATACCAGCTATTTTGAATTTTACGGGCAGGTAACACTTTTTTTTTTTTTTTTTTTTTTTGTCCCAGTGCCTAATTGCATACGGCTTATCGTGATGGAAATTCGAAAATACATTTCGAAAAATAGCGTCTTCGCGAAAGTTTCGTTCACAATCTTTGAATAAAAAATGTCCCAAAGTGCACGTGGTCTGAAACATCAACAGTATTTTTTATGCTCTCTCTCCTAAAATGTATAAAAATATTTTTTTTTTATTTCGGGGGACCGACATATAAAATTACAGAGTTTTTTTTACAAAGTTGCCCGTGCAAAATCTGCTCCGAGGAAAGCTCGTCTTCCTCATGAATATACGATCCTCGGCACGCGAAGACACGTATTTTCAAAAGAGGGGGGGGGGAAGGGAAAGATTGCGCTTCTCTGAATTTCCATGTACACGTGCCGTGCAGGTGGACAGACGAAGGAGGAGGTGATCGAAACGAACGAGAGGCTGCGGGCCGTGAGAATACGGCTCGACGGTAGCTACGAGACAGCCAAACGCGCCCTCGTCGAGCTCATGGCCAAGTACACCAACAGCAAGCAGGTGCGCAACGTCTTCGAGAGATACAACCTCCTCAAAGTTATGATAAAGGTGATTTTTCTCTTTCCTTTTTTTTTTTTTTTCATTCATTTCGAGCTTGTCTTGCGATCGGCAAATAAAAAAAATAACTCATCTCATTTCCGCTTTCTGGTTTTTGTTGGTCGTTCGGACGGGGGTGGTTTTTCGTAGAAAAGAATTCACCATTCATCAGATTTCTCACTACACCTTCGGAAGGGAAATAAGCTTTCTTTATTTCAAATGCCTGGTTTTACGAAAAGTAAAAAAAAAAAAATTGTTTTTCTCACGCCGGTTTAAAAACTCATTATTCCATCCTAGGTACGTCGGGACTCGATCTTAAAAAAATAATGCCTATGTAGTCAATATTTGTACATTTACGAGAAACCCGTGAAAAAGTAAGATGTGGAGCGAAAAAGCATTGTACCGATCCATTAAAACCTTCAGGACGTGATAAAGCTGGAGACGCAGTACTGGACACTGGTGGACATACCGCGGCAAGAGAAGCAAGAGACAGTACCGGCCTTCGTGCTGCGGGCCTGCACGATCATGGAAAAGAGCCACAAGAGCGGCGAGGGCGTCAAGACGTCGGCCAAACTGGCCGAGGAGGCCGATACCAAGCGCGAGCGCATCGAGCGGCTCGAAAGTACGTATACCACACTGTATTTGTGTAAAATAATTTGGGCCAATTACCACCTCCCCCCACATGGGTGTACTCGATGAAAGTAGTGAAATTCGGCCCCCTCAAGCAAAAACATGATATCGCCAAGTCACGAGGGTAGGTGCATACACGGTGCACGGGTGTTTTGAGGTACATATATTCTTAACATTCAGTCCACAAAGACCGTAGGGGAGGAATTAGGATGCAGTACGTATATGTATAAAAAGGAGTATACCCGCGCGCCAATATAGATACGCTCTAGGTATGTACTTGCCTGTATGTATTTATATACAAAAAACGTAAAACAAGTCGAGAGATAGAGAAAGAGAGAACAAAAAGCGAAGGTAGCTGCAGGGGTTGCGTACTTCTCAGTTATCTTTATTTTTCCTCCCTCTTTTATATTTTTTGTTCATTCTTTCGCTTTGATCGCCGGAGCCGCCGAAACGAAAAGAAGAGGGCCACCAACTCGCTCACTTGACTTTGGAACTTTTGCAAAGTTTTCAGCTGTGCAATGTGTACGGAGGGAGAAAAAGAGCCCTTGGAAAAGCCCCACTTGTTTCTTATGTGCCCGGAAAATTTCCTTCCCACCGTCCGTTGCGCTTACCCTGCGACAATGTGATATCAGGTAATGGTTGAGAGGAAAAATTTTAGGGCCTCGGAAAATGCAGGAGAAGCTCCATGTGTAGATGTACATAGACATATGCAAAGTGTAACGTAAGCGTGAAAACTAGTGCAAGTATAGGTACGTGATGCGAGAAACCAGAACTTTACATGTCTGCAACAATAGTGAGGAAAAAAAGCACATATACACATGTATGTACAACATTTTTCGCTCCACCTATCCACCCACGAGTTTTCGATTACTCTCCCGCCCTCTTCTTTTTCCTGTCATCCTCCAACTCGACGAAAGGAGATTCGCCTACAGCACGAGACTACATTTTTCATACGTGTTTGACAGCGAGAAGTTATATGTTCCCCCTTCTCACCGATGCGATAATGAAATCTGATTTTTTTTTTTTTTTTTTTCGAGAGGGCAAAAGAGGGTGCAAAATACGGACGATTTCCCCAATGCTTGAATGTATATCGTACGCAACGTTATTGATTTTCTCGTGCATGCTCAATGCTTTCGGCTGAGCGCAATGAAACGTAAAAATGTAGATATTTTCTCCTTTACCACATATCTATATACCTAGTTGTGTATTTTTAAACCGGCGCTCACTAGCCGTTATCAACTACTTCACAATAGTGCCTTATGTATTTTTGCCCAGAGAAAAAAGTGTGTAGCCGCCACGTATGATGACGCGTATTAATCGACTATTATCAAAACTTTGCATCCGATCATCTTCGTGAATAAAAAAATTCATAACATTGGGCAAAATGGAAAAAATCAGCTCTTTTGCTAAATCTTTTAATGTTTTTTTTTAGAGATTTTTGCCCATCGTGGTATAAAGTTAACATAATAACGCTTATTGTTTGCGGCAATCTTCGTAACAATATGATTCACAGTACACGGATTTTTGCTCGTGTGTATTTTAGATATGACGACGGCTCAAATCGAGGCAGAGAACACGCAGATGACTAACGACCTGTACCGACTGCTCAAAAAGTACACCGGCCTGAGGAACCTCATCCGGGACCTCAAGGTAAATTTAAATCATTTCTTCGAAACGCCTCACTTCAACTGAATTCGCCCACTCTTCACGACACTTCAAGCCTAACACAAAATATATACCAACAATAACCACGTCGAACTTCCAAGCAGCAAGAAAATACATGCGATCCAAACGAGTAGTACATGTACCGCCGTGTAGGTACTTTTAACAACAAAAACAACCATAACAACAACAATCCATACGTTGACAACACACGAGATAAATTTTTAAGCTATAAAACATATATATGATACATGTGTATGTGTGCGGGTACGTGCAGGAAGAATACAACAGCTCGAAGGTGTACCCCATAGTGCCACGTTACACAATGCTGAAGGACATGATAAAGGACATAATGCACAATCCGGATTACATGGAGGTGTGCCACGAGGTCGACGCATAGCCAATCGAACCCCTTCATCGTCCACCCCGCGCTTTTTAAGTTACCGTAGGTTGTACTGTAAACACCACCCAAGTGAACAAGAGGAACAAAAAAGAACAATACATCACCATTGGTTCACAGCAACAACCATGCGGGTATAGCGACGACGACGATGCAGGGATTCCGCACAATACGTATCAGTTGATACAAAAATAATATCCAGCCTATTGTACAACCAATGCATTTTCATTTGTTTATTCATTTTTTTGTTTTTCCACCAACAACAACCAGATCCGCACTATTTGTTTTATTTGTTTCATCGTACTCAAGTTAGGAAAGTCGTTGCGTTGGACAGTTATGTGACGCATATGTGTTAAGTTTTGTCCTTTTTTTTCCATTTAACTTTTATAAATTATTTCAATTATTATGTCAAAGTATCAAAAAGAATTTAGCACGACTATACACATAATCGCTGAATATTACAGTTTTTCAATCAAATTACCGAAATTTTTTATAAAATGCGTAAAAAAATAAATCGACCCAAATAAAAAAAATTTTTTTATATTCAACTGCCGTCTACATGGTCGACTTGGCATACATTTTCGAAACAGTAAATGTCTTCAGCTTTTTAAAACTATTTTATTGACATTTTGTCCTTTTGTAATGCGTCTTGGTACTTTACGTAAATAATTGAAAAAAAAAAAAAGAAAAAAAAATATATCAAAATCAAAAAAGACTTACGCACTTGAAATTCTAAAATTTCTATAGCCCATTTCACAGTCTATAAATGTTTATATCATAATAATAATCCTCCAACAGTCGTAGATTGTAGAATTTTCAGTCTCTGGTTGTCTAATTATACTAGTAAACGAATAACTAAATTTATGAAAAAGACAATGCTTTTGCATATTTAGTACTACACTACTGATGTATTTGTCACTAGAGAAAAAAGTTTAATTCCAATAGGTATAAAAAGTTAAATGTTGCAAAACAACGTTTCAGTAAATTTTAAAAGATTTTTGTCGTTTAAAGTGAAAAGTCACCTTTTTCTCTAGTGAAAACGTAACGCACTTCTGTGCAGCAGTCGTGCCTACGAGGAGGAATAATAAAAGCGTAGAAAAGGAGAAAAAATGTAATATTAGATATTAACAAAAAACAACTAAATTAACTAATAAATAAACCATAAGCGTGATCCATGCAATAAACAAATAACCAAAAAGTTTTAAGAATTGATTAATCTTGAATGTGCACGACCAGGTTTTTGTCGTAAGTATTTTATTTTTTATTGAATTGTCCATTAAGAAGACTTCTGATTTCGATCAGAATAGCCGCTTTCACGTCGAGACACAAAACATTGTAATATAAAAATTAAAAAATTTAAAAAAAATACTTACGTGTGTATACATACTTAGTAGATAAAATTGAATTGTACTAACGCGTGTAGTGTGTAGCTCGATAGTTGACGTACGGGTGTCTATTGATCACCATAACATTAGTTGTGCGTTTGAAGACATCCGCTAACTACATCAATGGTTCTTATGTTAAACAAACATAAGTAGCTACATCCCGTATTTTGGGCAGATAAAAAACAACCGATAGTTGAGTATGTATGTTTCGTATTTTCAAAGATATTCTATGTAGTCTAAAGATTCTATGTATACCACATGTTGCATATAAAATACGTACGTGTCCACGTATGGCCATGTTTGATTTTATCTAAATTTTTTAAGCTTCCAACGTGTCCACCTGTTAAAAACAAAACCAACGGAAATTCGGTAAAATCTTATATAAAGTCTTTAATCAGGTCGACATTTTAAGTATATTAAAATTTTTTGGTGTTACAAGAAAACCACAATGTCAGATCGCTGTTCGATATTTGGAAAAAATTAAGAAAAAAATGTAGTGAAGATATTTTGTGCGCTCGAACGATTTTCAGAAATGCGCTGTCAGCCAAACAAAATCGTGCGACGATGCTTTTTTTGCGTAAGATTGCGCTTAAGTTTGCAAAATAATATATTTTGTTTGTGAAGATTTAAAAGTATTTTCAATTTTTCTGAAAGTGTAATGTCTATGACAGTTCCTATTTCTCATGCATACAAATTGTTAAAATGTTCTGATGAGTTTTGCATATACTTATAAATACCAAAGACATGTGTACGAATAATTATTATATTGTTATCTTATTAGTGAATTGATTTATTGCTGTTGAGTTTAATATTATTGTTAAATATTGACTTATGAAGCGTTTATAGCAGATTTTAGCATTTTAAAAAGAATTCGTTCAAATGTATATTATTGTTCGACACCATTAGCGTGATCAATGCCATTGAAAGAATAAATATTTATTTTTTACGTGATAATTATGTTATGAGAAAAAAAAACATGTGCCATTTATTTATAGACATGATTACATCGATGTTGAGCGTCGTTTAATAATACTTTTCATATACACATACCTAAACAAAATGCATATCGCAGATTTTATACATATAAACTTGCATAAAAATTACGAACAAAAAACTTATGTATTACACATAAAAAAAAATAGGCAAACAACGTTCCTTTTTTTACAGCTGTGTGATGCTATACGAGTCCTGTTGCACTGCAATTCATAAGGACATTTTAAAAATGTTTAAGCCAAATGTACCTTATTAATTTTTTTAAAACCAAAAAGCAATAATGAACAAGAAAGCAAATTTATTTTTTTTTTTATAAATACTTAACTATTTGGAAAACAAAAATAATTGCTCAACTTAAACACAATGTTTTAGTAAATATAATTTGAATTTATTTAATTTTTTTCATCAGGCATTCGATTGCCAAGCCTCTGATTGTTAGGCATAGTATTCGCAAAAAAAAAATTAAATAAATAAACAAGTGTGTTAATATGTTTGCATTATTAAGTTAATCGAAAAATTATAAAAATCCATGTAAAAAAATTATATATCGTATTTTAAATTGAACTGTAAGAGTGCCATAATTTTATTAATGAGAAATAATTATATAAGCGGATTATTTTATGATATTTATTTTTATGAAATGTTTGATAAAGAGAAAGATTAAGACTTTCAGCGATTTCGTAAAGTTGAGAGAAAAAATGAAATAAATAGCTTCAAAATCCAATAAAAAAAGTATAACAATTAAGATTACGTATCAAAATAAAATTACTGCACGACACGATGAGACATGGGATATAAGGAATAAAAAAAAAAGAAAACGCAGTAAACAACATCGCAGTACTTGAAACGTGACCAATTTTTGCGAGAGAGACCGGGACGGAATAGGTGATCATCCCCGTATGGATCCCTTATTTTCTCTAACGTGGCTCTATACTATAAACACTGTACTTTTATACACGTATAATTTCTGCTCATATAAATTAATTACACGCTGTCCAACCCGGTTCCTCGTCACATAAGACAAAGATAGTAAAGTAAAGTAAATGTTTTAAATTAATATTACAATGATTATTAATAATATTAGGATGTAACATCCAAACATAAAAGTATTTATATGACTAAAAAAGAATCGCGAAGTATAGCGACGAAGCGAGCATATGCATATATAAGGATACCTTACGATATCAAAGGTGAAAATAACAAAATAAAGACTCGAATGGAAAACAAAGTGGCAGGTGTGCTCGCCTTCCACAACTGATGACCAGGGATAGTACCAAATAGAATTTAAAGTTTATGGCTTGTCATTGCAATCGGAATATGGACGGCTCGGTAAAAGGCAGAGCCAACTTTAAAAATAAGTGAATAAGCCATCAACTCGGGAGTGATTTTTTTTCACCAAGCTTTGTCGTATATTTACAATATAGGTGTATATTGCAATACCTAGCAAATTTCAAAAATTCATATCATTTATTTTTGATGTTAAGAGAGTTTGTCATTAAATTCACCAAGAGTAATCTCGCAAGAAAATCTTAATTTAGAAAAATAATGTGTTACGGCCAATGTTCAAGATAAGCTTTAAATAAATATTTTACGATTAATGTTACTAACGATGTTCAAGTAGACAATGTAGTATGTATTTATTTATCAAGACATTAAAAAAAAAAAAAATTTATTTCACATTTTTTGAATAACGATTGTATTTATCATATTTACTTTAAAGTACAGAAAAATTCCATATTTTTAAAAGTACATTTATATACGTACGTTCGTGTACAACATTAGTCATATTTGTACAGTATTGTCTCTCCCTTCTATGATCGCAGAAGACATTATTTTTCTTAAACATTGGATGATTAAAATATACATGTTCCTTCGATACGTATAGGTAACTTTGTTATAAATGTCAGTGAGGCCACGACAAAACTTGATTAAAAAAAAAAAAAAATACTCCTTAGTTGACTGCTTTTTCAACCCAAATTTGAGTTGACTCCTTGTCTGGTAATTTTCTGAGCCTTCGGTATATGAAAAAAATAAAAAGTGTTTTGAAAGAAAAAGATATTCGAAATATCCTGGTTATCGAATACAAATACACACTATGTACGCTTTAATTCTTTGAATTTCCAATTTCTATTATTGTTCATATTTGAAACAATTTAATGAAGTTACGGTAATAATCGTAAGAAGTTGTGTGATAAAGGGGATATTTTCACATTGAATTATACATGCAGTAAAATACTTGCATAGATTTATCCTTACAGATCTTACATAAATAATAAGATTAAGATATGTGTACTTATTTTCAAAGTTTATATGCGTGGTATAAGAAATTATTGTTGAACAGAAAAACATAAGAATAATAAAAGATAAATTACAGTGCAAAGAAAAAAGTATTGACAATTACTTGCGTCTTTTACTTTGTCGTATGTGACAAAAGCGCTTGTACTATTATTAAAAATTATGAAATTATATAAAAAATGAATTAAAGTAGTAAAGACTTTAAAAATTTCACGTAATTTAGAAGACGGTATGTTGGTTAAATTGTTTTTTTAAGGGTTTTGGAAATTTTTTCGCGAATTATTGAACATTGGGAACGTTTTTAAAATGGAGTCAATACGGAGACAATGCGCAGTTCTTATACTGTCTAACTTTACCTTTTCAAAAGACCAAATCAAAAGCTTAAAAACACTTAGGTCACCTCTTGCGACTCGAGCACTTTTTCCAAAATTAATATTTAAGTTTACATACGAGTATACTAAAATAATTTTTCCGTTGCAAATTTTTTATCACGTGATAAAAAATTTTAAAGCGCCAAAGCAAAAATTTTCAACAAATAATAATAAAAAAAAAAAAATACAAAAAAATGCAGAGCTTAAGAAAAAACTTTGATCATATAGAAAAAAATTTGTTAAATGTTGTGTAATATAAATAAGATTCGACCAATCTATTTGTCTAATGAATATATAAGTGTAATATTAAAGAAAACAATTTATACATCAATTGACTAACTAAGTGTCTCGTAACTATCGTGCGACAGTTCATTTAAAAATTTTTTTGAATAGAAAATTTAAAAAATCATATGCATATAACAGCGTATATATGTATATATTACATGAATATACTACGTTGGAAGATACCGTTGAAATATGTAGTGTATACGAGATGAATATATTTGTTTCGTAATTTCGATCTCAATAGCTAGTCAGATTCAAATAATTGAACAAACAAATGTTATCTCGCACATGAACAGCAAAAAATCCTAATGTGTTAAATAAGTCTTCTTTACGAAAAATGTTTAAGATTACAAGTATCATAAATTCATGCGAAGAAGTTACCGGTAAAGGATTTCGTTTGTACATATGTATGGATGGAACACTTGCGTTGCTTTAATTTGTTTTATTATATTTCACCAATTCGCACGTAGTAGCTTTACTGATTTTTAAGGATACAAAACAAGGTATTAAGTACGTATTATTCGAAACGAAGCAATAATAAAATTTAGCACAAACCAAATAACGAATATTGAATCTAGTATGACAGCAATACTTTCATTTAGAATAATTGTGTTGAGTATTTTGCTAAGTCCAATAAATGTTTTCGGATGAAGAACCAGCAAAATCATAACTGAATCCAAAAGTGGAATTCTAGACTAAAGTTTAAAAAAATTATTACTCATAAGCGAGTAATAAATTTACTCGGTGTTCCACGTCGTTTAGTGTTAATTTGCAAAAAAAAATCAAACAAATAGACAAATATTATGATCATTAATTTTGTCGTATAAAAATATATTTATGGCTCTTATAATACTCAAAATAATAATTTTAAATGTTCATATTTCATGAAAAGTAATCTATTGTGTTTCTCCACTGGGGAAATATATTATAAAGTTTTTATAAAAGATCACATGTAATATAATTTTACATAAAACTAT